CAATCTCATTTGTGATAAGTGCAAGCCTAGAGTACATTTCAGCGACACCTTCACCATCCTTCATTTTGAACTTGTCAAGCTGACTTTGGAGCACATCCAACTTGGATTCCTTGACAGATTCGGTACCTTCATGCATATCAATCAAAGTATCCCAAATTTCCTTTGCATTCTCAAGACGGCTGATTTTGTTGAATTCTTCGGGGCACAATCCGTTGAAGATGATATCACAAGCTTGAGCGTTGTATTGCAGCATCTTCAATTCTTACGCATTCGCTTCACGGCTTGGTTCTCTCCCATCAAAGAATTCACCTTGCAAGCCAATACAAATAATTACCCAAACGGCGGGGTTATGTCCGAGAATATGCATTTTCATCTTATGCTTCCAACTAGCAAAATTAGTACCATCAAAGTAAGGACCTCTACGGTGATAATTTCCCTCACTAGACGCCATACTCTCCTAGGTTGTGAAACCAAGGCTATGACCACCAAAAGCTATGGAAATCAAAGCAAATGGAGACCAAAGCTCTGATACCACTTGTAGGACCTTGAAGTATGTCTAGAGGGGGGGTGATTAGACTACTTGACCAATTAAAAACTTAACCTTTTCCTAATTTTAGAGTTTGGCAGATTTTAGCTATCTTAGGACAAGTCAAGTAATCATCACACAATTCAAGCAAGTATGCAAAGAGTATATAGGCAGCGGAAATTAAAGCATGCAACTTGCAAGAAGGTAAAGAGAAGGGTTTGGAGGATTCAAACGCAATTGGAGACACGGATGTTTTTGGCGTGGTTCCCATAGGTGGTGCTATCGTACATCCACGTTGATGGAGACTTCAACCCACGAAGGGTAACGGTTGCGCGAGTCCACGGAGAGCTCTATCCATGAAGGGTCCACGAAGAAGCAACCTTGTCTATCCCACCATGGCCGTCGCCCACGAAGGACTTGCCTCACTAGCGGTAGATCTTCACGAAGTAGGCGATCTCCTTGCCCTTACAAACTCCTTGGTTCAACTCCACAATCTTGTCGGAGGCTCCCAAGTGACACCTAGCCAATCTAGGAGACACCACTCTCCAAGAAGTAACAAATGGTGCGTTGATGATGAACTCCTTGCTCTTGTGCTTCAAATGATAGTCTCCCCAACACTCAACTCTCTCTCATAGGATTTGGATATGGTGGAAAGAGGATTTGAGTGGAAAGCAACTTGGGAAGGCTAGAGATCAAGATTCATATGGTAGGAATGGAATATCTTGGCCTCAACACATGAGTAGGTGGTTCTCTCTCAGAAATGGTAAGTTGGAAGTGTAGGTTTAGTATGATGGCTCTCTCCACGAATGAAGAGGAGGTGGAGCATTATATATAGCCTCCACACAAAATCTAACCGTTACACACAATTTGCCAAACTCGGTGGGACCGAATTGAGAAACTCGGTCGGACCGATTTAGCAAATTTAGTAACCGTTAGGATTTTCAGTGGGACCGAAATGCAACTCGGTAGGACCGATATGGTTAGGGTTAGGGCATAACGTAATCTCGGTGAGACCGATTACACAAACTCGGTAGGACCGATTTTGGTAATTAGCTCACCAGCGAGTTGGTCAGGTAAACTCAGTGGGACCAATTTGCTCTTTTTGGTGAGACCGAAATGTTACAAAAGGGAAACAGAGAGTTTACATTGCAATCTCGGTGGGACCGATCGCTCACTTCGGTTAGACCGAAACGTTACAAAGGGAAACAGAGAGATTACAATCCCATCTTGGTGAGACCGAGATCCCTATCGGTAGGACCGATTTTCTTAGGGTTTGTGGCAGTGGCTATGACATTTGGAATCGGTGGCGCCAGATTGGAAGAATCGGTGTGACCGATTTTGGCTTTGGGTTTAGGTCATTTGTGGATGTGGGAAAGTAGCTGAGGGTTTTGGAGCATATCACAAAGCACATGAAGCAAGAGGCTCATTAAGCAACTCCTCATCCCTCCTTGATAGTATTGGCTTTTCCTATAGACTCAATGTGATCTTGGATCACTAAAATATAAAATGAAGAGTCTTGAGCCTTTGAGCTTGAGCCAATCCTTTGTTCTTAGTATTTTGAGGGACCCACTTTCATCATCCATGCCATGCCATTCATTGAGCTTTCCTGAAATAATAGTCTTGGAATAGCATTAGCTCAATGAGCTATATGTTGTTATGAATTAGCAAAACCACCTAGGGATAGTTGCACTTTCACATGATCACTAGATCAATAAGAAGCTACAAGAGGCTCCTTGAGCTGTTCGGTGGGAGGAGGAAGAAGGGCAAGGCTAGCTCTCTTCTCTCCCTATGGTAGTGTCTAAAACTCTATGAGATCAACCCTTTGCATGGGTGTCCCAGGGGGTTTATATAGGCCTACCCCCTGGGGTACAATGGTAATCCGGCTGGGCATGGGTCCAGGCCGTCAGCGTCTACGACCACCGGCTTCTCCGTCGGCTACTGGGGCCCACCGACTGGTGGGTCCCGCCGACTGCCGGCCCATTGGTCGATAGGCCGGCCCCACCGCTTGGGGGGTCTTGTCGGGGGCTGGTTACTGTTGCCTCGCCTCTGATGACGAGGGCTTAGTCGAGGTAAGCATGGCTACAGTGCCGCCGTCTTGCGGGCTCTCACTGTAGCCTTACCTTGTCTTGTCTGCTTAATGGTGCACGCGCCCCGAGAAAGGGAGCAAGCCGGCTATAGGAAGCCGGCCCGGCCTCAGGCCGGTTGGGGGAGGTCAGGTCGCCTTCGGATGTCTCTCTGACCGAAGGGGCCCGCCGCCTACGGGCCGTACTAGCGACCCGTCGTGGATGGGGTCATGATCTGCATGTCAACAGTGCCTCACCGGACAGGAGATGGCCGCCCCGTACGGCATACTGTAGTCATGCGTGTTCCGGGATTCGGGTGTGGCAGGGTCCACTGTAGCCGCGCCATGTCCCGTCACCGTTATGGGGGGTGGACTTTAGGGCGCAGCCCACGACCGTCTGCCAGGGGCCGGCTTCTTGGAGTCGATTCTCTAAGGCCGGCTTCTTGGAGTCGGTCCTTCAGCGGCCGGCTTCTTGGAGTCGGCCCTATCGTGGCGTCCTCCAAGGGTTCTTTATGGCCGGGCCGCCTTCCACCAGCCGGCCTATGTGATAGCCGGCCGGAAGAAGGCGGCCCCGTGTCTTGGGTGCTTCAGGGCTCGGTCGGCCCATTATTTTTTCTGAGGGCCAAAGGGAGCCGACTTGGCTACCCGTGGTCATTTACTCCGACAGACACTATCTTAGATTTTGCTCCAGAGCCAACCATCCACGTAGGAAGGAGGGGGGTGTCTCTTTTGCTTTCTTTTCTTCTTCGTCTTTGATTTCTTCCACAAAGAAAGGGAGGCAACCTTGCTAGAAGCAACCTGGAAGGTGGGAAGATGGATGGTCAATTTGACTAATTCCCCTTCGACGACGGGATTCCCATGCCTGATTACTTCGAGGCCCTTGACCGTGTTTTTTTAAAGTGCATTTTGCATTTCTAAAATATTCCTCACATAGTTTTTGGAAAAAACTTTAGGGTTCTATTTTAGAAAATGTTCATTGTGTTTTCAAAAAATTGTTCATCGTGTTCTATATTTTTTCTTGGTGCGTTAGAAAAAGACCCAAGTAATTAATAAAAAATGTTCGCCATGTGCTTAGAAAATGTTCATCATATGCACAAAATGTGCGTTATGCTATTTTTAAAAATTCATCGCATACTTTACAAGTTTACAGTAAATGTTTAGGTCAAATATTCACTATTTGCTTAAAATCTCCCTCACATATTTAAAAAATCATCATGTATTTTTAAATGTTCTTGTGCATTTAGAAACTGTTCATCATGTTTTAAGTAAAATACACCATGCTTTCAAAAGGTTCATTATTTATTTTAAAATAGTATGTGGTCATAGTTTTATTTGGTTGAAAATTTGTTTAAAATGCGAACTGCTTTTGTGAGAATCCATGAACACTGTTTTAAGTACATCGCTATACTTTCAAAACATGCGGAGACCGTTTATAAAAGTATAAAAAAAATTAAAACGGATAAGTTCTGATGTACCTCTAAAATATACTAGAGGATACCACGCGCATTGTTGCGGAATTAGATATATAGATTGTAAATACTGTCTAGCATACTAATTCAGTCCTTATGATTTAAGTTATGTGAGAAATTTCAGCATAAGCAAAGAAAAGTATTAACATGAAAAGTTGTGTATGTGACAATTAAATGCAATTTGATCTAAAACCCTGTTATAATGCACTAATGCATGTTGCATGGTAGAGTATTGTCATGTGTAGATCAGATGGATGTCAGTATATCAAGCTAGTAAATCTAACAACTACAACAATTTTGATGATGTGAAAGTATGCATGTTGAGATAATTAAAAGTAGTTGGATCAATCTCTTAGCAATATATGGATTCTTGCATTTTTACCTTTTTTGAGACAATTGTAGTTTACCTTTTTTAGGCAATTGTATTTTACCTAAAAGTACAAGAGAAAAAAATGTGAAAAATAATGAAAGAGAATGTTGCAAGCGTGCTACACGAGAGCATGCAACCTGCCGCTCCGTTGGGCCCGGCCCATGTTCCGTACGCTGTAGGTGAGCCGCCCAGCTCGCACGAGCCGAGCACTGGCCCAGACAAGCGCCGTTCCCGAACCCCGCCCGCCCTGTCCCCAGCCGCCGCTCACCCTCGCCGGCGCGCCCCTACCCAAGCACGCCCCCACCGCCAATCCACCTCGCAAGCACAGCGCCGCCGCCGTCCCGCCCACTGTTGTATCCCCCACCCTCCTGCCCCAACGCCGCTGCACGCAGAAAAAGACGAGAGCGCCGCGCTTCCGTTGCCGGCGTTGCCCGTCCCCCGTCGGCCGTGCTTTCCACTTCCAGGCCGCCTCCCCGCTGAAGTCGGCGGCGCACCTTGCTTCTGCTCTTCCCCCCTAAAGGCACGGCGCCGCCTCCCCGCTGAACGCTGTGAGCTCTCTGCGGCCATCCAGACATGACCATCGATTGCCTCGTGCTAGGCAAGCGACCTACGAACGACTTCGTCTCACACGGTTTGATTGATCGAAAACACTCTGATGTCGTCAGTCTGTGTACGTACGTGTTGCAGGGGCGGGGCAGGAGGTGGGGAAGAGCTGCGTGGTGGTGACCATCGGCGGGAAGCGTGTCATGTTCGACTGCGGCATGCACATGGGCCACCACGATCGCCAACGGTACCCGGACTTCGCACGCATCCTTGCCGCCACCCCCGGCGCCGACTTCACCTCTGCCATCTCTTGTGTGGTCATCACGCACTTGTATGTGGGCAACAGTTTTATAGTTCCTCCGGGTCGATTGTTTCAGTTGCTGGCACGATTAGCTCACTTCTGAAGTTTGCCTCTTGCAGCCATTTGGATCATATTGGGGCGCTGCCGTATTTCACCGAGGTCTGTGGGTACCATGGTCCGATTTACATGACGGTAAGCCTAACTTTTGTTAGTTGTGCCAACTGCCAACTGTTGGTGTACTTGGTTTTGTTCATGTTGTTACTGGTTAGGGAATATATTTGTATTTGTATTGGGGGTTGATAATTTTCAGATTTTACTGAATCTGAGCTATCAGTAAGTCCTTGCTGGTAAATATTATTTCATAGATGGGCCAAATGTTGCAAGTGAGTGAATGTCATCGGGTCACGGAAGTTTTTTGATTTTTTTTTTCAAATTTACTAAATAGTGAATATCATATATGCTTAAAATTTCAAGATCAAACTCAATCTCATTTGCTAGGTAATTTTTTACTGAATAATCATTATGCACAGTTTATTAAGTACTACCTCTGTAAACTAATATAAGATCGTTTAGATAACTACCTGTATTAGTTTACAGAGGAGTACTTATCTTTTTGATATTTGGAAAATGGGATTTATTTTATTTTATTTTTGAAATTCCTATGACTTCAATACTTTTTCCTGAGTTTTCTTCATATTCTAATTACAACCTGTGCCTCAAACAGTACCCCACAAAGGCTTTAGCTCCATTGATGCTGGAAGATTATAGGAAAGTAATGGTAGATCACAGAGGAGAGGAGGAACAGTATAGCTATGAAGACATTCAGAACTGTATGAAGAAAGGTAGTGATAGATTTCAACATTTCTTTCACTGGTCGACTCGCAAAATGATGATGCTGCCGCGCAAGTATGCAGGGATGATAATTCTCATTTGCTTTTCATATTTGACCTTTCAGTCATACCCTTGGACTTGAAGCAAACCATTCAAGTAGATAGAGACCTTGTGATCCGTGCCTATTATGCTGGACATGTATGTTCTCATACCTATGTTTCTCTTGCGTCCAGCAATATCCTGAAATTATTGTTCAAAGTTGTCCACTAATTATCAGAGAACTGAGCGTTCATGTCTGTGCTTCCTAATCTAGTTATTGTGCCAAACTTAAGGTTTTGGGAGCTGCAATGATTTATGCAAAAGTTGGAGATGCTGCTATGGTCTACACCGGGGATTACAATATGACACCAGACAGACATCTTGGAGCAGCGCAAATTGATCATCTGAAGTTGGATCTCTTAATAACGGAGTATGTTCCAACTCCAATTGCAAATATGCTTTTCTACACTATGTCCAATTTTCTTGGATTGTTGACCTAGCAGGTTTCTTTTTTTCTCTTGTCCTTTTTTGCGGTGACATTTCATTGCATGGTTTATCTTTACTATTGTCATGTTTCCAGACTGCTACAACACTTGACCTGTAGCTGGTTCATGTAATTAACCACTGCGCTTACCTGAAAATCAGTTGGGCTATAGTCGGAAATCACTTCTTTAAGTACTGAATAGGTTGGTCCATTTAGCTAATAGTTAAATAAAATAAATGTTTCTTCAATATTTTAGGGTTTATTTTTTGTTGTCTTGTACCATTACAATCAGGCATTAACAGTACAGTTCCGTTGTTTGGATATTACTTTTTCCATGTGCAAGTACAAATTGATGTTTCTATCTGCAGGTCTACATACGCTAAAACTGTACGTGACTCAAAGCATGCCCGTGAGAGGGAGTTCTTAAAAGCGGTATGTAACCTGAATCTTTGCCAATATATTCTGCCTTGTAGATTTTTGTTGCATGTTTAATATGTTGGTGGAGCAAGATAATCATCAATGCTGATACTTGTGTTCTCCTACATCCAGGAAGTTAACATTCACCAGTTATTAAGTGCAACTTGTTCCAATAATGCATCTGTTGTCGAGTTCTTACAGTTTATTCTAAAATTACTTGAGTTGGCTATATTGAGAAGTTGAATTAAAATCATTTGAGTTTATGTGTGCTACTCAGTGATAGTATGTTTTCTGTAGGTCCATAAATGTGTTTCTGGAGGAGGTAAAGTTCTGATTCCAGCATTTGCTTTGGGCAGAGCTCAGGTACCCCCACTTACTGTCAGTTATATGTGAGACAAGCAAATTTATGATCGACTGTATCACTATACTTAACTGAGTAGGTTCCCAGTGGAAAAATATTTCCTTGGGGGCACACTGTTCAAAACTTCCAGAATAGAACATCCATTTACATGTGACATAATTGATCTTATATGTGTCAGGAGCTATGCATATTGCTGGATGACTATTGGGAAAGGATGAACTTGAAGATTCCTATTTATTTCTCAGCTGGTATGTGTTTTTTTTGGTCATCTCAAAAAAAGTAGACCAGCGGGGGTGGAAACCCGCGGCATTATATTAAGAGAGAATGTGAGACATAGAATTCGACCTGAGGGGTCGAACCCAGCTCGGCAGGGCGACACTACAGCACTCCCACCACTGGGCTACGCGCCCATCCACCTTTTGGTCAAACTTTAACTTGCTTTTATGAATTGTGTGTTTTATTTGACATTATATTTGTTCTATAGGTTTAACCATTCAAGCTAACATGTACTACAAGATGCTTATTGGATGGACTAGCCAGAAGATCAAGGACAGCTACACAGTTCACAACCCATTTGACTTTAAGCATGGTAACGTTCTTGAAAAAGCTTCTCAGTCAACCATGTGCAAAATGAATATAAAAAACATTCGATTGTGTAAAAATTCTAAATGTTTAATTCAGCCTTTAAAAGAAGACCTACACTTTGATCTTTGGCATTAGGTGAAATTTAGTTTTTTTGTAAGAAAAATTCTAAATGGATCTGCTGGATATTATGTCTGCTCGTCCATTTTGTCTCTTCTTAGCAAAGGTTCTTATTTGTAATGTTAAAGAATTTCGTTTGACCTAACTTAACCTGTTTTTAAACGGAAATATGCTATTTTGCTTTATTTGCAACTCCTTTACCAAAATGACATTGTAGGTTTTCTCACATTGCAGTTTGCGACTTCCAGCGTTCATTCATTAATGATCCTGGACCCTGTGTACTTTTTGCGACACCTGGTATGATTAGCGGTGGATTTTCCCTTGAGGTGTTTAAAAGATGGGCTCCATCAGAAAAAAATCTGGTTACACTTCCAGGGTATTGCCCTTAACTCAGAATTTCTGTTTTTTTCCATGTTTGCTAATGGCGTAGGAACAAACAAACATGTTTATTCTCTGAATAAATTGCTCCTGTTGGGGTTGTTACTACTGGTACTGTTATGGTGGAAAACATGAGAGGTCTACCCTGCCTTCTGCTTTAGCGAATGCTTACCTGCTTGGAGATGATGTCTTTCTCTTGGAGTTGAATGTTGTTGCTTTATACTCCCTCTGTCCCGAAATGTAAGACGTCTTTAGACACTATGATAGTATCGAAAAACGTCTTACATTTCGGGACGGAGGGAGTAGTTTGTACTTGCCACATTTTTCTGCTTTGGTTTCTATTTATTCTTATTTTCCTCATCTTTCACTGAAATAAGTAGGGAAAACTTTTCTGCCTGTTTAAAATATAGAACTGTGATACCTGTATTTTGATCTCATGTTTACTTTCATCCAGATATTGTGTTGCCGGAACCATTGGCCATAAATTGATGTCTGGAAAACCAACCAGAATCGATTTAGACAAGGAAACACATATTGATGTCAGATGTCAGGTTGGTCTTTCTTCATTTACAGTTCTCTCAGTCTACAGTAAAATTACATAGGAAGTGAAGACATTGACCTTTGGTTGATAATTTTCAACATCTTGTGCCATTACTCATCGGACATCACTAGTCCATCTAGTGCTTTATTGCGTTGCTGAAAAAAAATCTTATGTTGCTTATAAGTTCAATGGATCACCAGATTATGCATGCTCAAATTCGTAACTTACACTATTACTACAAACTATTTGACAGATTAGTTCGACATAGTAACAATGCAAGTTCAGGTCTCCAGCTTAATGAATCACTTTTCTTGAAATTTTGGTAGTTAGCCTCTGTAATCCCTTTTTCCTGTGTTCTTGCTTATCCTTTTCTCTGAATGTAATTATGCTAATACCAGTATTGTTTTTTCCATTCCGTGCACCAGATTCATCAGCTGTCATTCAGTCCTCACACAGACTCCAAAGGGATCATGGATCTCACAGAATTTCTTTCACCCAGCCATGTGATTCTTGTTCATGGTGAAAAGCCTCAGATGTCCTTTTTGAAGGAGAGGATTGAATCTGAATTGGGGATGCCATGCTATTACCCAGCTAACAACGAGACTGTCTCCATTCCGATGACCAAGAATCTAAAAATAAGCGCCACGGAGAAGTTTATCACAAGCTGTAGCACTGCTCAGGCTAGAGATAGTCCACAGAAGTCGAACCTGATTTGTGGTAACCACCTGTCAGGAGCCAACGGTGACGAGAAGCTAGCGGAGGGCATTCTTCTGATGGAGAAGAGCAAGGACGCGAAAATTTTGTGCGAGGATGAGCTTCTTCAGTTGCTGGGCGCAGAAGGACATTCAGTCCAATTTGAACCACTGCTTCGCTCCAGGATTGGAGAGGCAGAAACCGACATTGTAGATAATTTAGCCAGTGAGTGAAATGACTGGATACTGTTTTAGCTTTAGTGGATGATCTGAAGATAGAATTAGTGTTTGCTTGCACCTCATGGCTTTGAACCTCAAGTGCCAATCGAACATGATGCAAAGTCTAACAGTTCGATGGTTTTATAAGCGCATCTCTCCGGTAAATCAAACGCCAGCCTGGCTGCATTTTGCAACCAGTTTTGAAAGTATCAAGGATGCGTTCATAAAATATTAAAACAGAAAACACATAGATGTACAACATGGTATAAAGGGTGTTTGCGTGGTGACCCAGGGCTTATTTGGATCACTACCAAAACTTACCAAAATGTTGGCTGGCCCGTGGGCCGTGGAGACATGGTTGCCCGGTGTTCCGTTGTATTGGCTGGCCCGATAACCCCTGCGCACACCCTCTCCTCCGCGCTGGGCCGGCCCATCTTCCTCCTCTTTTTTTTCTATTTTCATGCCTAAAAATCTGCGTGCCTGGTTTGTTTTGAACCGGTGACCTTCTGCTCCCGGTCCGCCTAAACATGAGATATCTGAAATGCTTAATGCACACGATTAGCCCGCAAAAACATTGTCATCAATCACCAAAACCACATAAGGTGAAATATGCCCTTACACCTTGGAGGTGCCTCGGGAATCCCCAAGTTTAGACTCTTGCCACTCATTATTCCTTCATCTATCGTGATCTCACCCAAAACTTGAAAACTCCAGTCACACAAAACTCAACAAAACCTCATGAGATCCGTTAGTATAAAAAAGCAAATCACTACTTTAAGTGTTGCAAACCCATTCATATTTTGTTGTTGCATTATAGCTGATGATTCTAACTTCTCCAAGGTTTATAACCCCAGATATAATCCATAGTCTTATCAAAACAAGCAAAACAATGCATCAAAATCAGAATAGTCTGTAGCAATCTGAACATTGACCATACTTCTGTAACTTCAAAAATTCTGTAAAATTAGAACAACATGGGAAATTTGTATATCAATCATGTGTAAAGAGTCAGAATTGTATCACACTCCAACAAATTTTAACAATTCTTCTACTAGATGCAAAATTTTCTGTTAATGCACAGAATCAGAACAACTATCATCCGAATCATCCCAAAGGCTTTGCTTAACACAAACACTAATTAAAACACTAGAACTCAATCATAACAGCAAAATAATTGTGTGCTTATTAAAAACAGCAAATGAATAAAAAATTAACAGATAACTATTGAGTTGCCTCCCAACTAGCGCTATTGTTTTACGCCCCTAGCTAGGCATAATGCATAGTTTCAAGTGTTGTCATCTTTCTTCTTTTCATTCAAAGATGTGTTTTCCTCGGGAGGTTTTTCAAAGGTAATATGAAACACATCATCCATAGAAATTTTAGCATTAGCAATTTGTCCATCCGCCAATCCCCCTTGATTACAAGCTACAATCCAAGAGTATTGACTATTAACACTATTAAAACTTGCTGGATTATATTTAAAGGAGGGACTTCCTTTTTAGTGTTCTAATCAAATAGATGGTCATTGCGGAATAAATACCTCAACAAGTAATCACTATTATAAAGGATCTCATCTATCACCGGTTTTCATGGTTCATACCATAAAAATCAAAGATCTCGCTGCCTTCCCGCACTATGTGATCAATTTCGTTCATGAGGACAATGGTAGGTATCTTTTTAGCTCTAGGGTTTTTTAATAGCAGACAACTCATAAAACAATCTTTGCAAAGTAGGATGAGTGCGAATAAATCTTCTCTCTAGTTTAAGAACAAGTGCAAAAATAGCCTCGGCATAATTTTTGGTTCTTTTAAGTATAGGAGCATCATCACAAGTCAAAGTTCCAATGCAATTAAAGAATTCTTGGATGGCAATTTTTCCTATAACATTCCCTTGTCCCAACACAAAAGTTTTAGCATCAAGATTAGTAGAACTTTGAACTTTAGGAGTTTTACCATCATCTGTTTCAGCCATACCAAAAACACTCATGATGATAATTTCTTTTTTTTGCGGGAATCATGATGATAATTTCAAAGCAAGCAAACAAGACAACACACAAAAAGGCAAACGAAAAATATTTTTGTATTTTTGTAAAAAAAATAGAAGTGTGGGGAGATGGAAACGAGAGGCAAATGGCAAATAATGTAAATGCAAGGAGATGAAAGTTTATGCAAAGGTACTTGATAGTTGTTGATGATGTCTCCCCGGCAACGACGCCAGAAATTCTTCCTGCTACTTGTAGCTGCGCTGGGATTTCCCCGAAGAGGAGAAGATGATGTAGTACAGTAGAGATAAGTATTTCCCTCAGTTTATGAAACCAAGGTTATCAATCTAGTAGGAGAACCAAGCAATAACTTGTGAACAACACCTGCACACAAACAACAAATATTTGCAACCCAATGCGAGCAAGGAGTTGTCAATCCCTTGACGGTTACAGACAATATTAAATTGTATAGCTTTGATAGATAGATCAGACAAAAATACAAAAAAAAATAAAAAAAAATGCAGTAAACTATTTTGGTTTTAATATATGATAAAATATAGACCCGAGGGCCATAGTTTTTACTAGAGGCTTCTCCCAAGAAATAACATATGGTGGGTAAACAAATTACTGTTGGACAATTGATAAAAAGCAAATAATTATGATGATATCGAAGGCAATGATCATGTATATAGACATCACGTTCAAGACAAGTATACTGAAACGATTCTACATCTATTACTATTACTCCACACATTGACCGCTATCCAGCATGCATCTAATGTATTAAGTTCATCGAAAAAGGATTAACGACTTAAGCAAGATGACATGATGTAGACAAGATAAACTCACATATGAAATAAATCCCATCGTTTCACCCTTAATAGCAACGATACATATGTGTCATGTCCCTTTCTGTCGCTGGGATTGAGCACCGTAAGATCGAACTCATTACAAAGCACATCTTCCCATGGCAAGATCAATCAATCTAGTTGGCCAACCAAACCAGTAAATCGGAGAAGAAATACGAGGCTATAACAATCCTGCATAAAAGAGTTTAGAGAAAACTCAAATAATATTTATGGATAGATCTGAACATAAACTCACAATTCATTGGATCCCAACAAACACACCACAAAAAGTTATTACATCAAATATAGAGAAGAAGCCATCTAGCTACTAACTATGGACCCATAGGTCCGTGGTAAACTACTCACGCATCATCGGAGGGCAGCAAGGATGATGTAGAGCCCCCTCCATGATCGAATCCCCCTCCGGCAGAGTGTCGGAAAAGGCCTCTAGATGGAATCTTATGGTTCTGGAACTTGCGGCGGCGAAAAGAGTATTTCGTGGACTCCTCTGTTGGTTTCAAGATTTTAGAGAATTTATAGAGGCGGAGTTAGGTCAAATGGAGCCACATGGGCCCCACTACTCACCAGGGCGCGCCTACCCCCGGGCGCGCCCTGGATGCCTTGTGGGCCCACGGTTCATCATCTGGTCTTCTCCCAAAGCTTCTAGTTTCTCTTTTGTCCAGAAAAAAAATCTCCAAAAATGTTTGTGGCATTTGGACTTCGTTTGGTACTGATATTCTGCGAAATCAAAAGCAAGCAAAAAAACAGCAACTGGCACTGGGCACTAAGTTAATAGGTTAGTCCCTAATTGATTGAAAGTGTATATAAAGCATCCAAGATTGATAATATAATAGCATGGAACAATAAAAAAATTATAGATACGTTGGAGACGTATCACTTCCTCCACACCTCTCCTTTGCAAGCTCGTTGATCAACTCCGGCACGAGTTCACCATGAAGGATATGGGCGCCCTCCACTACTTCCTCGGCATCCGGGTCGAACATACATCACTCGGTTTCTTTCTCAACCAAGCTCAGTACGCCGAGGAACTCCTTCACCGAGCAGGCATGTCCCAATGCCATCCCGCAGCAACTCCAGTCGACACCACCCCTAAAGTTGCTGTCGATGCTGGCGGTCCCGTGGATGACCCCTCGGCATATTGGAGCCTCGCCGACAGTCTGCAATACCTCACTATGACGCGTCATGACCTCGCATACGCTGTCTAGCAGGCATGTTTACACATGCATGATCCTCGCAACAGCCATCTCGCCATCCTCAAATGCATATTGCGGTATGTTTGCGGCACCACCACTCATGGTCTTCTGCTTTCGACCTCGCCATAGACCGAGATTGTGGCCTACTCTGACGCGAGGTTGTCCCAATACTCATCGTTCCACCCGCGGTTATTGCATGTATCTTGGCACAACACTTGTCAGTTGGTCATCTAAGAGGCAAGCCATTGTCTCTCGCTCGAGCGCAGAAACAAAGTATCGAGCCGTCGTGAACGCCGTTGCAGATTGTGTTTGACTCAAGCAGGTCCTCAATGAACTAGGCTGCTCCACACCGAAGGCTACCATTGTTTTTTGCGACAACATATCGGTCATGTACATGCCCACAAACCCAGTTTATCACCGGAGGGCCAAGCACATTGAGCTCGATATCCATTTCTTCAAATAAAAGATAGAAATCGACGACTTTTGCATTGTACATGTTCCTACAACACAACAGCTCGCCATCATCATGACCAAGGGTTTGACAACATCCGTCTTTCAGACTTTTCGATCCAGACTTTGTGTGCTGCCAAGCAGCGAAGATACGACTATGGCGGGGTGTCAGCGAACGTGTGTGTTGTGTGTATTCAGTTTCCTAGTCTTTAGGCTAGCCTTGAGTTAGTTAGTTGAGGACTCTGTATATAAGTTGTGTAACCCCAGGTAGTCAATGTACCATGTGTTGCACGACCATCTCTCTTTTTCCATTGCTCTGGCTCTAACAAAATGATTTAAACACCACCGGCTTCCGGCCAGCTAGGATTTCGCACATGTGATTCACTAAAAAAATTAAATCATCTCACGAAGCTTTATTAAACCGTCGGTAATATTACAAGGACGAAAACAGATCACAGGAAAGATCTTACCTAACATGACGGCCTACTGTAAATGTAAAGCATATACTTCAACTGCGATTCACTAATGGAACTGGTGTCTGAGACAGGGAGCAGAGCAGTTTTCTTTTTTTTGGATCAGGGAGCAGAGCAGTCGAGGGGCCTCTTTCACGGAACCTTCGGCCAACTGGGCCACTACTCTACCGGGCCCATTGGTCGCTGGCCAGCCGCAGCCGGCACCTTGCACCCCGCTTTCCGCGCCGCTTCGGTCGTGTCACCGCTGATTATTTTTTCTGAGGGGTACGTGTCACCGCTGATGAGTGTCTAGCTTTGCGAGGAGCACGTAGCATCAGCCCGGCGCAGCTAAACAAACCAGTGAACCCGACGAGCGACAAGTTTCTACGCCTGTTCCCAGCATCTCCTCCTTTCTTTCTCTCGAGCAAGAGCCCATCCATATCCCCCATTCCCTCTCTGCCCAAGAAGACCAACCGGGCAACAACCCAAAGCCCACGATGAGCTCGGAGCCGGAGGTCGTCCACAGCGGCGGGTGCCACTGCCGGCGCGTGCGGTGGCAGGTGGAGGCGCCGGCGAGCGTGGTGGCGTGGGTCTGCAACTGCTCCGACTGCTCCATGCGGGGGAACACCCACTTCGTCGTGCCCAAGGACAAGTTCGCGCTCCAGCCCGGCGCCGGCGACTTCCTCACCACCTACACCTTCGGCACCCACACGGCCAAGCACACCTTCTGCAAGGTGTGCGGGATCACCTCCTTCTACATCCCGAGGTCCAACCCCGACGGCGTCGCCATCACCGCGGCCTGCGTCGACCCCGGCACCCTGGCGCACGTCGAGTACAGGAAGGCGGACGGGAGGAACTGGGAGAAGTGGATCGAGGGGAGCGGCATCTCCGAGTTCTCCAAGCCTAAGGCCGCCGAGTAGGACCTGGCCTGGCCCGTGTTCGGTTCAGGATTTCAGGTCAGTTTGGTTGGTGGTTGCTGGCTGAATTCCTCTCCTTGTTAGTCATGAAAAGTAGGTATGTGAGAATAAACTTGGACATGATAGTCCAAACTTGTCCTGAATTTTTCTCCTTGTTAGTGAAAAGTTTGGTTGGTGGTTGCTGTCAGAATTCTGCATTGCGCTTAATGGATGTCTAGACTCTGTTTTATAATGCTTCATTCAATAGCCAGCCATGAGATGAGATGAGCCTATACATACCCACAGTGTGTACAATTTCAGAAGTAAACATTCAGAGAACAATAGGAGCATCTACAATCACGTTTGGGGATCAAAATTGGACAGTCGTGATTGTTGATGCTCTACCAGTTTTAAGCAACAGTTTTAGTCATGTTTTGCATAGAGAGGCAGATATATGATACTGCCATAGTGGCTTACCTTTCCTGATGATTGTTAATGAAATGCCACTAAAAATATTATGCAGAGCCCAAGCAGCACACGAGAAACAGAGTTCTTGAATTGACTGAAAACAAGTATCACTACTAAGTACCAACAGTCTTCATACGCTCAAGTGCTCAACAACACAAAGGGGAGGGAAATGAACATACAAACAGTACTACTGGTTTAACCAACAGGTAACCAATAACTCTCCAACATAGAAGTTTACATGAAAAAAATAGAGATGAGCTCAGGAGATGCTGTAATATCTGCCAAAGATGCTTGGTTGCCCTACGAGCTTGAGGCTTTTCAGCACGGCGTTCTGCCCATCATCCGCGGCTTCTCGGACATATTTGAGAGCAGAGGATGAAGATGAAGACCATGGCAAATCGATGCTAGGAGGCTGGCTCTCAGATGGTGATAGCGCGAGATGTAATGGTACAATGGATTAGCTTGAGAGGGAGCGTTGGTCTTTTTGTAGGCTTGCTGGAAGGGGATAGCCTTAGCATATTCTTTCAGCACCGAACTTGCTGAGTCCTTTTAGGCTTTAGCCCTTTTTATGGCCCTGCCCTTTATACTTCACAAAGCAGATGGTGATCTAGTGCAAGTTTTGTTGGTTTGTCGCTCAGTGTGCAACTTGTGGGTGACTGAAAAAGGCAATAAGAGCAACTCCAATGCGTCGACCCAATTCCGTTTTTTGTCCGTTTGGGTCGGCCGCCCGTTCGGTGTCCGCCCTCTTTAAGATTTGGGTAGGCAGTGCGCTCAACGGTGGTGACCCATTTCATGTCCGCACGCAAATTTCGAAAAAGGCCCGCGGCCATAGATCATGGCAGTGGCCATGTCGTCGCCCGAAGTTCGTGCTGGCACCATGCCAGTGCCAGCATACAATGCCAGCTTCAGAAAAACAGCACACAATTCAGCTGGCGCACTTGCCTGCGGCCAGCACACATGTCAGCACACAAAAAAGGGGCGGGAGAGTTCGACCATGCCATCGCGGTCGTGGTCATGCCAGCACACTTGCCGGCATACAAAAAAATGGCGCTCGCCTCCATAGATCACTTGTCGTCAAACTTGAGCATGCCGGCCTGCATCTTCTCGAACCACGGCCTCTTCCTTGGCGACACGGTGTTTAGGTGCACCTTCATGATCTCCACCCCCGTCATCATGCTCGCGAGAGCCACTTCTTTCGCCTTGGTCTTGGCGTTGGTGGCCTCGATCTCTAGCATCTTGGCTTGCTTCTCCGCCTCCATCTCAAGCATCTTGCTTGCTTCTCCACCTCCATGTCAAACCACCTTCTTTGGATCTCCATGAAGGCGTTCATTTGTTCTTCCTTGTATCGCCGGCACTCCTCCTCCCTCAAGTCCTTCTTGGTCATCATGCCCTCCACGCTTGCGATCAAGGGTTCGACGTCGCATCCTGCTTGTCCTCCTTCTTGGAGTTGGCCTTCCCCCGCGGCCGTGGCTTCTCGCCGTCTTCCTCCTCGGCCTTCTTCCCCCCACGCGACTTGAGGGCGGCATATTACGCCTTGAACTTCTTCTCGTCTTTGATGATCCTCCAACAATGGAAGAGGTTGAAGCACTTGCCATCGTGTTGGACCTTGAATGCCTCCAAAGCTTGGAATGCCTACAAACTAATTGCATGCAAGCATATTGGCAAATGGATATGGAAATGGACATGCAAGCATAAACGGAATGTCACAAAAGAGGGCCGCTTGCCAGCATACCATATCTTGCATGCCGCTCACGGGGCGTGCCTTGACGCTCTCAAGAGTGGCACAAAACTTGTTGCACTCTTGTTGGATCACCTTCCAACGCTTCGAAATGGACACCCATGCGCGCATGCTTTGCATTTGGTATGGTGGAAACTTCTTGCACTCATGGAACTCACGATGGATACGAGTCCAAAAGGTTGATGCCTTTTGTTCGGCGCCAGTCCTGGGGTCTTGCCCAATGTCCCTCCAACACTAACAAAGAAGCTTGTCCTCGGCCGCCTTGGTCCGCCTACTCTTGCGCTTCGGCTTTCCCCCGGCGGCTTGGTTGGCGAGCTCGTCCTCGAACAAAGGCTCCCCTTCGATGTCCAACTCATCCTCTTCCTCGAGACCGTAGTCCTCTAGAAACTCGTGGTCGAGCGGGAAGCCATCCAGGTCCACGCCGACCTGATCATGCATGAAGGCGACCTGATCTTGATCAAAGGTGGACGACGTGAATGACCCTCGGCCATCCTAGCTTTGTGTCTCGTCGGGATCATAGCCAGCCGCCAGCGGCTTGTGCACCACCCTTGAAGATGATGTTTTGCGTGTAGTCGTCATCGCCGGAGGCCAGCATTCCGTCGAACAGGTTGTGTGCGCCCAACAACACGTCGGATGGCATGTGTTGCGCGCGTTTCCTTGCCCCTCCGGATGATGAGCTACCGGCCACCGGTGTGGCGTTGAGGTCGATGGGCGCAGGCACGGGCATGGAAGGCGCCACCACGCTCACCTCGGGCGAGCACTCCCCAAAGAGTCGGGATGCCTGCGAGTAGACGTGGAAGCCGGGCATCGGCTGCGTCGCCGACGCGCGGGGCGGGTCGGGCAGCGCCATCCAAGGAAACGCAGATGAGCCGGTGCTGCCCGCGGCCACGGCAGCGTTGACGAGGCCGTGCTGGCCAAGGTTTAACCCTAGTTATAAGTGCATCTAGTGCCACCCCTAGTTGGTTTTGGAGTATTGACGACAAACGTGATTGAGGGACTAATGTGTTTGTGAGAATTGCAGGCTAACATAGGTAGTGTCCCTCATTGATTTGGTTTACCTACCAGAGATGACCCCTAAAAATGTGTGAAAACATTGAAGAATTGTGGTTCGTGAAGACATTGACGACAAAGATTATGACATGTGAAGATATTCACTTGAAGACTATGGAGTGCGAAGACATAGTTGTTTCATAGTTTCTTTCTTCTTTATTGAGTCATAGGAACCACCGTACTGTTAGGTGGGGTCCAAGTGAACAAAGTCAGAGTGACTGAAGTGATGCTCAACCAAATCCTATGTCTTCGAGCGAAAAAAATGAGAGAAAATCTTATCCAGGGCTGGATGAGTCAGCTTTGCTTGTAGCCCAAGCCAAGCTGCCGCGTGTGTTTGAAATCTGACCGTTGGACACATGTCAGTTCCTTAGTGACCCAGGGTTATTTTGGATATATCAGGTCGGGTTGCCTCCTGGTTATAAATAGCCCACCCCCTACACCATAAATTGGTGGCTGCTCAGAGTTAGTGCACGGCTTTTGTCGTTTGAGAGCAATCCACCTCCGAAGCATTTGAGAGAGAGATCCTTGCGAGGACAAAGCCCAAAATACCCAGAGCCAAAGAGTGTTAGGCATCACCGAAGTCTTTCTGTCCGTGTGATCCGAAGACTTATTACACTTGAGGACTGTGTATCCTTCAGCCGGTTAGGCGTAGCGTTTTGAGCATCCAAGAGTCATTGTGGATTGCCGGTGAACGAAGTCTGTGAAGGTTTAGAAGTCTACCTCGAAGACTTGCCAGAGTGATTGGGCAAGGACTGGGTGTCCTTAGCTCAAGGGGAATAAGGTGAAGACACAGTCTTCTGAGTTCAATCTCAGCCTCTCTAACCAGACGTACAGTTGTCAGAGCAACTGGAACTGGTCTATCAAATCCTTGTCTTCATCAAGCAACTGATTCTATCCTCTATTCTTCTTACTTTATAGTTTGTCTTCGTGAAGTCATTGCTTGCCTTCCCGATCCGTTTGACTTCATTATGTGAAGACTTATACCTGTTTAGCTTCGTACTATCTTTCATTCCGATCCTGTCTACCTAGTTGCAATTAGTCTTCGTGCTTTCACTCTATTGTATGCTTGACTAATGCTTGCCTAGTGTAATCTTAATTCCGCTGCTTTCTATATAGGCTAAGTTTACCTGTTTGTCTTCAAAGCCATCGTGTTTTGAAGACTTCCATAAAAATCGCCTATTCATCCCCCTCTAGTGGATAACTAGCACTTTCAATTGGTATCAGAGCAAGGTACTCCCTTGTTTTGTGTGATTCGGTTTAATCACTTGGAGTTTTAGTTATGTCGACTGCAGGGATAATCAATGTCTCCGTTGCGTGTCCTATTTTTGATGATCAAGATTATCCCAAATGAAAGGCAATGATGAGGAAGCACCTCCTTTCAATGAATAGTGAGTTGTGGACCGTCATCGAGATTCGTCTCACCGATCTATGCAAGATGGCGAATGCTGATGACATTCGAGAGTACACTCGACTGGATATCACGGCTAAGGATATCATATGTTCCTGTTTGTCCAATGACGAGTTCAGGCGCATCATGCATCTCTGCAATGCGAAGCTTATCTGGGACCGGATTTCCGATGTCTATGAGGGTCATTGAAACCGTCAAGACCCATGGTTCTGCGAATTCAAGGAGTCTCTTAAAACGATGACTTTTGAACCTGAGACATCAGATCCAACCTACTGTCTCATGGCATGTAGTGCCAAGGTAACCTCTCGTGAATCCAAACCTAGCTATAAGACACTTGCTAAAATTGCAACTGAGTAACTGCTATGGAACATATTCAAAAGAAGCTAGACAAAAGTGATGATCTGTTGGACGCGGGAATGAATCGAACTTAGTCCTTAATCGAAGATATTAAAAGTCTTCGTGTTAAGTATGAAGAACTTGAAAGTTGGCATGAAACTCTCTCAGCCTCTCATGAGAAGCTTTCCTACGATTATCTTCAAAGTAAGCATGATCTTGAGAAACTGA